ATTGTCGTTCACCAGAGCTTCGAAGAGGGAGGAAAAAAGTGAAGTGAATGGGAGGGAAGCTGTTGCTGTGTTGAATGAAATAAATTCATTTTTTTTTTTTTTTTTAACATCTAAGCCGTAGATCTTCTCTTAAGGGCCGTGGCCAAATCCTGGCCCTTGATTGGAGGATTTGCCTGGAGAGGATCTAAACTCATAGGAGAGTGAGTGAGAAAAGGAAAAAGTAAGAGAAAGAAGCGGGAAAGTAGAAAATGTACACGTAGGATACATCACAGTCGTTATTTTGTAATTTAAACAGATCTGAGCCGTCCAAATGTCCTAATAGGATAAATGTGTGTAGGACATTTTCAAAAACCTTCTTTTTTATTATATAGATTTATTTCATATTTTATTATTTCGAAATATTAGTTTATTTTAAAAAAATAATGACTAAAATAATATGAATTTTTTTATTTTACCCTTATCTTAAATTAATTAATTATGACAATTAATGTTATAAAAAAAAGTTAAAGGATAATTTTAGAAACTAAATAATTGTACTACTAAAAAGGTTTAATTTCTCAAAAAGAATTACTAATATTTTTGAACGGGAGTATTAGATTACTATAAAAAAAATTAAAAAATTTAAGCAGCGTTGGATAACATTTAGGCCTTTTTTGTTTCAAGAGATGGAGGGGGGATTGGGTTTGAGATGGAACTGGGACTCACTAATGTTGTATTTGTTTTGGGAGATAGAGAAAGGATTAAGATGAATCTCCGAATTAGGTTGGGCTATGAAAGGGAGATTGACATGGAGGAGGCAAAGGTGGTATTAGAAAAATAGTCTACCGAACTAATTTTTTTTTTTTATAAAGAACTAATTTTTTTTTTTTTATAAATTTTTTACATGTTAGGCATTTTTTTTGAACATTAATGTTTAATTTTTTGTATTTTTTGTTACGTAAAAATCATTGTTCCATTTATTTATATTTATTTTGTATTTTTTGTTAAGTAAAAATCATTATTTTATTTGTTTTATTGATTTATATTTATATTTATTTTTTATTTTTTACATGTTGGCCATTTTTTTTGAACATTAATATTTAATATTTTTGTATTTGTTTTATTATTTTATATAAAAATAATTTAACAATTCCTACACCAACAACTATCATCAAAACAAACACAATTTTACTTAATCCTCTCACTATCAATTCCCTCCATTCTACTTCTGAAAACAAACGAGGTCTTAGGGGTTGTTTTGGTTGATTTAAGTAAGTATACTTTTTAAATTTTTATGAAAAGATGTGCAATGTAGTAGAGATATAATGTGACTTAAATAAGATAAAAAGATAGGCTAAAGTAGTGTATCCAAACAACCCCTTACACTATAATTTTTATTTACTAAGGGTTCGTTTGGGATGTGAGTTGATTTTTTAACTTTTTAGTTATTTTAGGCCTCGTTTGGCAAATGGTGATTTTAGTTAAAAAGTCACTAAAAAAACAAAAAGCCAACAACTTATATCAAAAAGTCAAGGATTTCATTCTCTCTACTTTTTGCACATTTTTGCATAAAAAACCAAAAATACATCCCAAACATACTAAATTTTTTTTTACATCATATTTTAGTCAAAAAGTTACTTAAAAAGTCTGTTTCCAAACGAGGCCTAGTTTGGGATAAAAAAGTCTCGTTTGTGATAAATTTTTTGACTTTTTTGAATTTTGTGAGAGAAAAAGTGAAATAATTAGAGTTTAGATGTGACATTTTGTTTTATTGACTTTTTAATCTATTTTTGTCTTTTTATAACTGAAATAGCCTTTTAGCCCCAAATTTTGATATGCCAAACGAGTGCCAAAAACATTATTTAAATTTATTTTTAGAAAAAAACTGTTTCATATATATATATATATATATATAATTTACAAGAATTATAAAATTTTTAAAAAAATCATTTATAATTTTCAAATTTTTTTAAATAAATACAGTATAAAACACGGGAGTTTTTTTGATAAATCCATTTTCTAAGAGCTTTATTTCATTCAACCCATATTCTTTTTGACTATTCCATTAGGCCCAATTTGAGATAAGAAGACCAAAATACCCTTTTTCATCTACTTATGTTCCATTTAGTTCACATTATTTTCTTATATTTCAATAAGTCCTATGGGTGACATAATTACCAAAATGCCCCTAATGTGAATGTTCACACTGTCAATGTGAATGTTCATATCGTCAATGTGTAGGGGCCCGGCCCATGTCGATCCTCGTGGGGCCCGAAAAAATCGAGTCGGGCCGGGCCGGCCCATAGGCAAAAAAATAGGCCGGCCCGACCCGTTATAATGTGAATATTCACATTGACAAGTTAACATTCACATTGATAGGAGTGTAAAATTACCCGTGGCCCGTGGCGGCCCGAAGCCAGCCCGCGGCCCGGGGCGGGCCCGTTCATATGTGAATATTTCACATTGACATATTAACATTAACATTGATAAGAGTGTAAAATTAGCCGTGACCCGTGGGCAGCCCAAAGCCCGGGCTGAGCCGGGCCCGGCCGGTTGACAATTGAATATTCACATTGACATGTTAACATTCACATCGATAGGAGTGTAAAATTAGCCCGCGGCCTGTGGCCGGCCGAAACGCGCCCGTGGCTCGCGGGCTGCCTTGGGCGAGTCCCCGATCCTGTCCCGTTGATAATGTGAATATTCACATTGACATGTTAACATTCACATTGATAAGAGTATAAAATTAGCCGCGCCCCGTGAATGCCTGAAACCAGCCCACGGCCCGTGGGCAGCCCGGGGCGGGGCCCGACCCAGCCTGTTGACAATGTGAATATTCACATTGACATGTTAACATTCACATTGATAAGAGTGTAAAATTGACTCGCGTCCCATGGGCGGCCCGAAGCCCGTGGGCGGCCCGGGCGAGCTCGGCCCGGCCCGTTGACAATGTGAATATTTACATTGACATATTAACATTCACATTGATAGGAGTGTAAAATTGTGCTCGTGGCCCATGGGGCACGGGCTAATGTTACACTCTTATCAATGTGCCCGGCCTGTTGACAATGTGAATATTCACATTGACATATTAACATTAACATTAATAACAGTGTTAAATTAACCCGTGACCCGTGGGCAGCCCGAAGCCCGACCTCGGACCGGGGCGGGTCCGGTCCGTTGACAACGTGAATATTCACATTGACATGTTAACATTCACATTGATAAGAGTGTAACATTAACCCGTGCCCCGTGGCTATCCGAAACTCGCCCACGGCCCGAGGCGGGCCCGGCCCGGCCTGTTGACAATGTGAATATTCACATTGACATATTAACATTCACATTGATAAGAGTGTAAAATTGACTCGCGCCACATGGGCGGCCTGGGTTTGGGTTCGGGCCTACCCCGGGCCGCGGGAGAACTTCAGGCAGCGGACAAATTTTACACTCCTATCAATGTTAATGTTAACATGTCAATGTGAATATTCACATTGTCACGGGTCGGGCCAAGCCTGCCTCGGGCTGCGATCTGTCTTCGGGCCGCCCACGGGCTGCGGGCCAATTTTACACTCCTATCAATGTGAATGTTAACATGTCAATGTGAATATTCACATTGCCAACGGGCCGGGCCCACCCTGGCCCGTGGTCGGGCTTCGGCTGCCCACGGGTCACAGGTCAATTTTATACTCTTATCAATGTGAATGTTAACATGTCAATGTGAATATTCACATTGTCAACAGGCTGGGCCGGGCCCATCCCGGGCCGCCCACGGGCCGTGGGCGGGTTTCGGGCAGCCACAGGGCGCGGGCTAATTTTACAGTCCTATCAATGTGAATGTTAACATGTCAATGTGAATATTCACATTGTTACGGGTCGGGCCAAGCCTGCCTCGGGTTTCAGGCCGCCCACGGGCTGCAGGCCAATTTTACACTCTTATCAATGTGAATGTTAACATATCAATATGAATATTCACATTGTCAACGGGCCGGGCCGGGCCTGCCCCGGGCCACAGGCGGGCTTTTGGCCGCCCATGGGCCGCAGGCCAATTTTACACTCCTATTAATGTGAATGTTAACATGTCAATGTGAATATTCACATTGTCAACGGGCCGGGCCGGGTCGGGTCCGCCCTGGGCTGCTGGCCAATTTTATACTCTTATCAATGTGAATGTTAACATGTCAATGTGAATATTCACATTGTCAACAGGTCGGGCCGAGCCCGCCCCGGGCCGTGGGCAGATTTCGGGCAGCCACGAGGCGCAGGCTAATTTTACACTCCTATCAATATGAATGTTAACATGTCAATGTGAATATTCACATTGTCAACAGGCCGGGCCGGCCCTGCCCCGGGCCGTGGCCGGGGTTTTTGGCCGCCTATGGGCTGCGGGCCAATTTTATACTCTTATCAATGTGAATGTTAACATGTCAATATGAATATTCACATTGTCAATGGGCCGGATCGGGCTCGCCCCGGGCCGCCCATGGGCTGCGAGCGGGTTTCGCGCTGCCACGGGACGAGGGCCAATTTTACACTCCTATTAATGTGAATGTTAATATGTCAATGTGAATAGTCACATTGTCAATGGGCCGGGCCCGCCCCGGCTCGCCGATGAGTTTCGGGCCACCCACGGGCCAATTTTACATTCCTACCAATGTGAATTTTAAAATATGAATGTTCATATCATTAAATTGCTAATCGTTCAAAAAATATTTATAAAGGTATCTAAATTGAATATAAGGGCATAAGTGTCCAAGAAAATAGTATAAATCAAGAAAATGGGCTTTATGGAATAAAACTATACATACATGGGACTAAATACGTTAAAAAATTCCTTCATAAACTTCTTAAATTAAAACACTTCTAAATTAGACTTATCAATAAAAATCCCATAAAACACTCCCAACAAAAAATAAAGTAAATAAATAAATAAAATTGTACAAACGCCATCATGAAGCAATTTAGACGACATCACATGTAACTTGTTTCCTATTGATTTACTCCCAACACGACGTCGTGCATAGACCCCATGAAACTTGTAGCGGGGGGACTCCTCTTCAGAGCGTCGTCGTCGGGAAATCGGATTCTCAGCCTCCGGTGCTTGAATCGGCAAACTAGGGTTTCTCTGTTTGGTTCCCTAAACAATGGCGACATTGAAAATAATCTCAGCAGCTCTGAAACTCGTCGACGTCAAGAAAGAGAATCTCAAAAAAGCCTTCGAAGATCTTCAATCCCACTCCTCTTCTCTCTCTTCTTTCAATCTCACTTGGTCCGACCTCGATTCCTACTTCACCTCCCTCCAATCCTCCCTCCAACACAACTTCAATCTCCTCCAATCCCAATCCCAATCCCAATCCCAACCCCAACCCCAACCCCAATCCCAACAACTTCTTCAAATCGAACCCCAATCTCAGTCCCCCAAATCTTCTGTGATCGTCAATTCGGCTCGGCCGGAGTTGAAATCGTTCTGTGAGAACATGGACGGGTTGGGATTGAGGAAGTACATGATTGAGCGGCCCAAAGTGCGGAATTCGATTAGGGTTGAGTTGCCGGATGCCTTGCGGGGAGCTCCGGACGCGGCGGCGATGGTTCTGGACGCGATGGAGGGGTTCTATGTGGCGAATTCGAAGGGGGATAAGGATTTTGAATTGTGTACTGTGAGGAGATGCTGTGTGGTTTTGTTGGAGGAATTGCAGGGGTTGAAGGTTGAGATTATTAGGGCTGAGGTGAAGGTGAGAGCGATGAAGTTGGCGGCGGAGTGGAAGGGGAAGGTGAGTGTTGGTGGGGAGAATCCGCTTGAGGCATTGGCGTTTCTGCATCTTCTGGCTGCGTATGGGTTGGCGGATGGGTTTGATGTGGAGGAGCTTCTTGAATTTGCTGTCATAGCGGCCAAGTTTCGGCAAGCTACTGAATTGTGTCGGGTGCTTGGTTTTGGGGATAAGATATCTGGTGAGCTTCTTGAATTTCCCTCTCAAATTCACTCGTGTTCTGTATATCTTTTCATAACCCCTTTAGTTAAAGCCTACATTGTAGATTACCAATTTCAGCTGATGTGTGAATGAATGCATTGATGAGTTTGAATTTTGAACGCATTATTGGAATAACTTCTATATATTGATATTTTTACTAACAACACCTCTATATATTGGAATAAGTTCATTGTTCATCTCTTATTATGACTGTGTTTCTGCACTCTTTAGGTTTGATCGGTGATAGGTAATTTCTCTGTCATGTCTTAGAATTAGGTGTTGGGAAAGACAAAGGATTGTTAAATTTTAGTTTTTGATTAAATGTAATGATGTTAATATCTTTCTACACTGTCTTTTGAGATTGAAGATTTGTATAAATGTGATGGCTAATTCCATCCAAGGAGTAGGTGAATTTAAACCTGGATTTGAGAAATTAGCTTCTCGTGTTTATCTTTATGTGCATTAATGCTTGTGCAGCCTTTGTTTGACGAAGGTGATGATATGTTGGTTGTGGCTGGGTCATACTTGTTGGTTGGGTATTGAATTCCTCTTCATATTCTTGTCAGCTATGGTTTTAGAACATATTATTGTGCATACCTACCAGAATTCTCTAATTGTACTTCTATGCTTTAGCCAACTGTTATGTAAGGTTAACCTCAAAATACCTCTGTGATCAATGCACATCCACCTTTGGTGTGTTGAAAGCATCTTTCACTGGGGCTACATATCTTTCACGAAGTTAATCCAATAATCAGTTTTAATATTTTCTTACCTAGTAGTAGTAAATAAAATGACATTGCTGGAATGGTCTGATGATTATGAAGGGGGCTACCCCATGTGGTTGTTCTTCCTTTTTTGACTTGGATTTTGTTTCAGCATTGAACCATTTTGTAGGTTTCATGGGACCGGACAGAACCAATGTTTGACTGCTATAACAATTATTTTTAAATTCATTCGCAATTTTCTTATTTTGTTATTGTTGTGATCTGTGGTAGTAAGGAAAGTGTTTGTTGTTTTCTACTATTAAAAAATATTCAATGACTTTTGTATACATTATGAGCTCAAGTCAACTCATCCATGTTATTTGGTTTGTCACAGATCTTATTATAAAACTTATTAGTAAAGGCAAACAACTTCTGGCAGTCAAATTTATTTTTGAATTTGACCTTGCTGACAAATTCCCACCAGTACCCCTTTTAAAAGAACATGTGAAGGAGTCCAAGAAACTTGCTCAAAAAGTTTGCAAGGGTGGAAAGAACTCTTTTCAATCACAGGTAATGTTGTATTTCCCTTTATGAATATTAAAAATACTCATTTTCAACTTTCGAATCAAATAGGTTTCTATGTGATATTTCTTTACTTTCTCCTGTAGAATGAGGCCGCAACCAAAGAAGTCTGTGCATTGAAATCTGTTGTGAAAGTCATTGAGGATCATAAACTTGAATCTGAGTATCCGACGGAGAAGCTTATGAAGCGCATTGAGACACTAGAGAAGCTGAAGGCGGACAGGAAACGCGCTGTAACAGCCCCTGTTTCCATGATTCAGCAGCAGTCAAAGCCACAGGAAATGAGTGGAACCAAGCGTCCTCGAATTACTGCCAATTCAACTGTTCTTGCATCTCAGCAATCTCAATTACAGCCAGCAGGTTTGTTGCCAGAACCTCATGCTCCATACTCAAGCTCACTGGCTGGGCTGTATGGCTTGGCAGGTTCAACTTCTGCTGTCCCATATGCAGGTTCATCTGCTGGCTTGTATGATTCGGCACGAGCCCCTTTGGGTATCCCTGGGAATGTGGTGCCTACACAGCCACATGTCAACCCTTCTGAATCGCACCTGCCATCTAGTTATTTTGATAGGCCAATTGCCTATGGTGGGTATGGTTTGCCGCCACAATATCATTTGCCTTACTATCCTCAGTAGTTCCTTGTACAATCTGTCTTTCTGGTAGTATAATAATATTTGGTGGTATCGTAGCATTTGCCTTACTTTGTTGCACTGATAATTTACAATGTATATTATATAAATTTATCACAGTGAATGTAGCACAAACTAGATTTGGTTATATTAAGTGTGTTCGTGGCCTAGCCTAGCATCACAATAATTTTACCTGAACCATAAAGCTTTAGATGTTTTTGGAATCGATCATCAATTATTTCATTTGAGATTAGTTATTTCAAGGGTTTTTGGAACTGGAACCATTTCTTTTTGTTTATTCTCCAGTAGTTCTATTGAGCATTTTCGTTCTATGAAATTTTTGCAGTGAGTTAATTTTTTTAAGGGGTGCTATGTTAAGCTTGTGTTCTGCATCCCTACAATGACAGTATCCCTCCTTTACCCCACCTCTCTTCCCCTTTTCACTTCGTATGCTGTTTTTAACAGTGATGATGATGGCATAAGGACATGTATCTGATGAGCGAGTGAGTTGAGGAAATTATGTGGTCCCTTCGTGCTTTCAGTCTGTGAGTATTCTTGTTTTATTTCTCTTTAATGATGATGGTTCTGGCTTAATTCTGGACAGTAGGTTTGGTTCCTTCCTAATTTAGTTTCCTGTTGAAACAATTCAAGTGATGGTCTGAACTCCAGTGAAGGTTATGTCTAAACATAATAAGATGATCTGTGCTGAGGAAGTGTCATTGTTGGGTTATATTCACTCGGTATGTCATTTTACAAAAAAAATTTAGACAACACCACTGCCTAATATGGCTTGGTGGTGTTCAGTTGGTCTCTAGATTGTTAAGATCCAAACACAATGTTAGGAGTTAAAAGTAAAAAAACATTGCAAACATGCATTTCTCTTTTTCTTTATACTGTGTTTGGATCAAAATTTGTTGTCACTTATTTTTAGCCCTTCGCAATTCTCTACTCAAATTTGAGATTCAGACACAACTTAAAAAATTTTGCCCCTTTATTTAACATCCGTTGATTCAAGTTGGTTGAAGTTGTCATTTTCTTGCTGCAGTGGGCCTTGTCTAATGTTCAACAATGCAAATCATAATCAAATTTTGGGATACCATCTCCGTGCGGGAACAGGAATCATTATGCTTTAGTAGTGTTCACAACTCATCCAAACACTCGCACTTTTTTTTTGTTTTTCAAAAAGAATAGGCTGTTTTGGAAAATCCATGCTCCTTTAATAAAGGTGGTTGAAATTTTACAAAATTCAATGACATTTTTTTTTTCTTTTTTGGTAATTCAGTTCAGTAGCGCCAAAATTTATGGCTGGTCGATTTATTTTTTTTATAGGAATTCACAGGATTTTTTTAAGAAGAAATTTTGAGGACTTCAATCCAAACCTCTTTTTGAAAATATTGGGGTGATGATGCCATTAGATTACAAAACCGTTTGGCCATGTTTTCTCTTATCTACAAGAGAGAGATTATTTCATATGATAAGAAGAAAAAAAGAATTATATATCATATATAACTATTTGTATTATGTTTGGTTAAAATAAGAAGAAAATAAAGATCGTGATAAGAAAGTATAATTATTTCAAATCATTGAAAAAAGGGAAAACAATCAATTCGATTGGAGGTTAAATCCCAGCAAAGCTGATGAGATAAGTGGTATTAAATATTCCTCGCATATAGTCTCTCTTATTAGTATAAATTTATTTCAAAGAAACTAAAGCAAAAACAATTAAATCAATAAAAATGACGGCTTTATCTTGGGATTATGGTGGATGTGTCAAATTTTAGATTAAAAAACAGCAAATTAGGTGACAGTTTAGTGAGTGCGAGCTCAGTTCCATCGAATTTGGCAAAAAAATAATTATAGATTTCACTTTTGATTATAAAATGATGCAATTCTCATTTATCTTTGATCTTAATTTTTACTTATTAAAACTTTAGTAAAATTGAAATAAGGAATGTCTTAAAACTCATTTTGTTACATGCCTATCTAAACTCATTTTGTTATATTAAAAAAATTAAATTTATTTAATCAAGCAAAATTAAAGGAAACATTTCAAAACAACTGGATAATAAAAATATATATATATATATTTTTATGAAAATGCAAAGTCTACCACTCCATACGAGTTCTTGAATATTTCTAAAAAACAAATAAAAAAAGCGCCGCATTGGCAACACCACTTTAGTGTCACATGGGGTTTTAATAAAAACAAAACAGAGACAGACAAATGACATCTAGATACAATGTTATAGCCTAACCCTGCTCGGTTATCTCTCATCTCTCTCTCTCCGACAAAGCTACAAGGCCACACACAATCGCAGCCTAAGACAATAAAATGCCCAAACTACCTCTTCCCCTTTCTTCCTCCATCATCGAATCGTCTCTCTTCTCCACTCTCCTCCTCTAATGGCCGACTCTCTTCACTCTCACTCTCTCTCTGTTTCCGAAGACCAACCTTTCGACCTCCGATTCTACTCCTCCAACCCTCTCCGAGATGCTAATTCCGACTCCGCCGCCGGATCGAGCTCTGCCAAGTACAAGCTCTTCTCTCCGGCCAAACTCCCGATCTCTAGGTCCCCCTGCATCACGATCCCCCCAGGTCTCAGCCCGACATCCTTCCTCGAATCCCCTGTTCTCCTCTCCAACATGAAGGTTAGGTCTTCTTCGAATCTCTCACTATTACTTTCAATTTCACTACCTTTAATCACAGATTCGAATCCGATGCATAGAAAGTTAGCGGAAATTGAAAAATAAATAAAGAAAGAAAGAAAGAAAGAAAAGATTTTGATTTACTTTTGTGTTCTAGATATAGCCCTTAATTGAGTTCAATATTGTAATTTTGTTTTTATTTATCGTGCATTATTATCTCAGCAATCAAACGGAGGATTGGGTTACATCACAGTAAGCTGAATAGAGAATTTTGACGTGAATTTGATTTTTAATGTTTGTTAGTTGAGAAAGAAAAAAGGGGAAATAATAGATTTCAAAAATAAATTACAAATTAGTTGAAAACTTTATATTAATAATGAAAGTATTAAACTTTTCCATGTATTAATTTATATTACCACTGGATGCTAATTCCCCCAAGAAAGAAAATAATTCAAGGAGTTTGTTTAAGTAAAGTATGATTTGAGATTCTGATAAGAAGTTGGGTTCGTTTCACCACTTCACAATATGTTGTGCTTTTTGTTTGTTTGATTGGCTATTGGAACTAATTATGTATGCTATTGCTGGGACCGATAGATTCTTTATGCTTGCATTAGGGGATTCTATATTAGCTGCTTCTTAGAATTATGCTCATTCTTGCCCTAGAATATATGTCTTCCTGCCAATATTTCGAACCTTTTTCTTGTTTATAGACTTCATTGTTGTTTTTCCACAGTGTGAATCCTTCTTTTTGTTTGTGCTTGGTCTTTTTAATTTTTTTTTTCATGTATTGTTCCTGCTTTGTGATTTGACGTATGATGAAAAAAGAAAAGAATCGCATATGGATGACTTTCACAATCATACTCTTTATATAACTGAAATCAGTATGTGCTAAATTTGTATAAAATCATATGAAGAATTTTGGTTAGCTTGCTATGTTCATTTGTTATTGCAAGGTTAAGGCTCTGAGGCTTGCCGGAAATGGAATACCACTTAAGCCTTCCTTGAGAACCGCCACCCACAATTTTTTTTTACCCCAAATGTAAATCAGTGCCTCGAGTGTGTGTGTACTGGTGTATGTGTGTGCGTGCTGGTGATTGAACACAATATGGAGATTCCCAATCTATTTTTTTATTTTTATTTTTTACAAACTTCTGAATCCTGCAGGCTGAGCCTTCTCCAACTACAGGTTCATTTTTGAAGCCTCACTTGATGCAGTGCTCTGGCGGTACAGCTGGTTTCTCATTGTCTGCAAATTCCTCCAATAGAAATAGTGTTGATGGAAGACAAAACAGCTGTTTTGAGTTTAGACCCCACACTGGATCTGATTCTGTTTCAGGATTACCACCAGCAGCACCTACGGTAATGCCCTAATGAACTATCAAATGGTTATTACTAGTTTTGTTTTGTCCCTGCTGAAAAAATTTATACTACATGACAATTGATGTTATTATTGGTTTAAACTGTAATCCAGTGGGTTTGTATGTGGTTCTTGTTTATTGTGTTATATGTGAATCAGAAATCATTTTGGGGATATTTAAGCCGCTTGACTTGTGTTTGATTCTTGGTTTGAGCATCCAATTGACTAGAACATCTAAAGCATATATGATATAACTTAGGTTCTATGTGAGAGCTACCCACCTTTTTGCATACTTCTAAAATGTTCCTCCTAGAACCAATGTTACAACTTACAAGCAAGCAATTACCAAGTTCAATTTATTTACGTTTGTTAGTTAGGCATAATATAAGTTTGTCTATCATGTACATCACAGCGAATGCCTACAACTAATGATTCTGTAGGCTTGAAAAAAATGAATAATATTTTTCAGTCTAAAAACACCTCTTTTTTTGTGCAAAAGAAGAATCCTGAACAGTTATTTATGGATTTCAGTTTGATGTGTCTGTGACTATCCTAGAACTGATTCTGGACACTGGTTACTTAACACTTCATTTTTTTAAAGATCACTGCAGGTACGAACAACCAGAAAAATGAACCATATGAACAAGTTCAAACTCAATGTCAGTCTCAATCTTTTGCATCATTGCCTTCTGTTAAAAGTGAGATGGCATCTTCCTCAAAAGAATTGAGTCTACCTGCATCTGTTCATATGTTTGCTTCAAGAGCTACTGTACATACTGGAGTTGATTCTGATGAATTAAACGAGGGAGTGCCCCCAAGTACAGGGGTCCAAGCATCACAACCTGACCATAAAGATATTGGGCCTTCAGTCACTGCTGAGAGATCATCTGATGATGGATATAACTGGCGGAAATATGGGCAGAAACTAGTGAAAGGATGTGAATTTCCACGAAGCTATTACAAATGTACACATCCTAACTGTGAGGTGAAGAAGATTTTTGAACGCTCTCATGAAGGACAAATTACAGAGATTGTGTATAAGGGTACACATGATCACCCTAAACCTCAACCTGCCCGCCGATATACTGCTGGTGGTATTATGTCTGTCCAAGAGAAAACTGATAAGTTTTCATCTTTAACCGCTCAAGAAGGTAACTAGAGAAATTTTCGTAGGATTTCTCTTTTTCAAAGATTTTGGTGTACTGAACTGATTCCTTATTGTTCTTTCTTGAAGACAAATCTGCCATAAATGCCCAAATATCTCATCACATTGAATCAAATGGCATTCCCGAGCTATCTGCTTATGGAACAAATGATGATTGTGTAGAGGGTGCAGCTTCCCAATTCAACAGCACTAACGATGAGGGTGATGATGATGACCCATTCTCAAAGCGGAGGTGATGTAGTTCAAAGTAGGCCTTAGTTTTTTTATTGAAATAGTTATATCCATAATTCATATACTAACTTCAAACAAACTTTCCAAATACTTCTTGCAGGAAATTGGACGGTGTTGGTATTGATGTCACGTCGGTGGTTAAGCCTATTCGTGAACCGCGTGTTGTTGTTCAAACTGTGAGTGAGGTTGATATACTGGATGACGGCTATAGGTGGCGTAAATACGGGCAGAAAGTGGTGAGAGGCAATCCTAATCCAAGGTATGTCTCAGTTTTCTAACCAGGTGTACAATTACTAGGAATGTTTGTCTCTGTTTTTCCAATATAATCTCTAAATTTTGCCTAGACATTTTGGAATATTGATTACAATTGACTTGGCTTCTCTTATCAGTTGTCAACTTGTCAGTTTGAAGTCTCTGTATCAGAATGGGCAATTCTTTTAGATCTGTGGATCCATATTTGACACTTGCTGATTTCTTTGGACAATCATATGGCAACTAATTGTCATAAATCAAGTAATATTTAGATAGACAATGTAGCCATGAAACCTGTTCTTAATTTAGGTCCATTGACCCATTTTTATGAAGTACAAAATTAAACTTTAAGACTCAATGAGTCAATGTAATTCAAGAACAAGTTGAAGTTTATTGCCTAATTCTGGTCTGAAACCTGTGAAACAGTAACTCTGATGGATGTTTGTGATTCTCCTGGATCTACTTTGCAAATGAAAAAAGAAAAATATACATGTTCAGCTCTCAAGTTTAAAGAAAAACTATAATACTCTCAACTCCATGAGTAAGCTTTATTCATGTAGTACCTCAGTGAATTGGACTACATTATCATTTTCTGTGAGCTAGAGAGCAAATTTGGGTTTATTGTGGGAAGGAAAAAGGGGGCAATGATAATTGATCTTGTATCCAAGTGATTTTACAGATTAGTGATGCCTTCTTATTAATATTGTACTGGCAAACTGCTAGCATCTAAATGCTTGCAACTGCATGTGCCCCCCCTCAAATCTTCACCTTTTATGGGCACTTAAAAGTTTTGGTCTGAAAATTAAGTGTCTTGTCTACCAATATTTGTTCCATATTTAGGCACTATATTTAACTGTCATTTTGTTTTTGCATGTTATGCAGGAGTTATTACAAGTGTACAAATGCTGGATGCCCAGTCAGGAAACATGTGGAAAGGGCATCGCACGATCCCAAAGCTGTTATAACTACCTACGAGGGAAAACACAATCATGATGTACCTACTGCAAGGAATAGTAGCCATGACATGGTGGGACCCGCAACTGTGAATGGAATGTCAAGGGTTAGATCAGAAGAGAGTGATTCAATCAGCCTTGATCTTGGGGTTGGGATCAGCGGCTCTGTTGCTGAAAATAGATCCAATGAGCGGCATCAACAAGTGATGGATACTGAAGTTCTGCAAAACCAAGCTAACAGTGTCGGCTCCAATTTCAAGGTTCTCCAAGTGAACCCAATTCCAACATACTATGGTGTTGTAAATGGTGGCGGTGTGTATGGATCCAGAGATAACAGCGTTGAAAGTAGTCTTAACTTCCAGACTCAACCTTTAAACCATTCATCTATTCCGTATCCACAAAACTTGGAAAGAATACTTTTGGGCCCGTAGAGTTTTGTTTTGTGAAGTGAAGGAAGAATAAAAATGCAACGCTGCGGGGTTCTGCCCCTTCTTGGTGGCCGGTGGGTGAAATATCTGAGGCTGCTCTGCTCTGTTCTGTATCATTTCTTCTTGTATTAAGCCTTGCTTATACTACTACAACATTATTAATCTTAGGTAAAAAAAGTTTGTACAATATGGAGTTAGAACAGGGCACATTTTCTGACCAACAGACATATTGTAACTCTTTAACAGTGCTTGAAATGGAATGTACTTTGAGGGAAATACATACATACATACGTATATTCTATATTTGGCCTGTTACAAAGGCTTGTAATAATTATTATGGTTTTGAGTTGTAGAGCTTTACATTCTCTCAATCTCATCCTTTTTGTTTTCGATAATGTTACGTAGTTCAAATTTTGTGACTCAAAAGTGGCTCAAATGGATAAAACGACGTCGTTTTGAGTACAGAACAACATAAAGATGGTCAAAACGATGTTTTGGCCATTTGAGTCACTTTTGAGCCACAAAATTTGAGCTACGAGACATTTTCCTCTTGTTTTTTCCTTTTCTTGAGGAGCAACATGACCTGTTAAAAGGAAATTACTATATAATCTAATAAAAGTGGTCTTTTATTAAACCGTAATGTTCGTATTTCTTGGATCAATCTTTCAGGTTCGGACGCTATTCTTACGAGTCATTCACACTATTAATTGGGTAAATTCACAATTTTCAAATATATATACAAATGAATATATATATATATATATATGTATATATTTAAAATGAAGTGTAAATATTATTATTCAAAATGATTAAGTGAAAAGCAGAGAGAAATCTTTGTAGAAAGGGGGAATTTCATCTAGGTGGGTGATAGAAAAAAATATATATATATTTCCATGTGGCGGTGTAATTGTGTATGTGATGAGATGCAAATATAAGGGTGTAGGGGTGTAAGAGTTACTTGTAAAAATTATCACCATATGGCGATAAGTATATATGTTTCAGTTTGGGATTATTACTGCGCAACAATTGTGGCGCATCTTATTGGGCCTATTTCAGGGTTTAATTTGATAATCTGAACCGATCATATTTTAGAAGGTATCGAGTAAAATATACCTGTAAAAAATCACGTCAATCGGATATCGTTGGCATTGTCATTAATAACATTTGTATTTAAAAAAATAAAAATAAATGTAATTTGAAATATAAAACTTAATGCAGATGTGATTTAATGAAAGAGATAACGATCTTCGATTGACGTGATTTTTTATAAGTATATTTTACTCGATACTTTCTAAAATGTCTAAAATATGAACGGTTGAAATTATCGAATTAAACCATAAAATGGACAATAGTCACCCTGCGCAGCACTAATCCCAAACTCATATATGTGGTGGGATGCAAATGTAAGGATGTGAGGTGCACGTGTCACTTGTACTTTCCATATGTCAGTAATTTGTCTATGCAACGAAGACGACGTCGTACAAGTCGTACTGGCTAAACAATAACAACTAACAACGGCCACTCACTAATCTGAACACAAACATACCTAACAAGAAACAATGGTGTAGGATTAGGAAGCAGATAAACCAGTCAAGGATAAGGTTGACATTTGCACATTTGTGTCAATACAGATATTCCTTTCCTATTTTAGGGTTTTAGGGTATATTCCTCTCCTCTCTCTTACAATGGCCGTTTTCTCAATCTACACATTCACTTCCTTTCCTCCCTCTTATTCCTCTTCCTATTTTCATGACTTCACTGGAGATTTGCTTTCGAGAGCATGGATTGGTAGACGAAGAAGAAGAAGCAAAAGCAAAAGCAAAAGCAAAGCCACTACTAGGCTCTTTGTTCTGTCTTCGCATTCCAACCCTAAAATTCTCAAGTCTAATCGCAGGTCACGGTACGGTAAAATGAAGTGTAAATATTATTATTCAAAATGATTAAGTGAAACGCAGAGAGAAGTCTTTGTAGAAAGGGGGAATTTCATCTAGGTGGGTGATAGAAAAAAATGTATATATATTTCCACGTGGCGGTGTAATGTGTATGTGATGAGATGCAAATAAAGGGCGTCGGGGTGTAAGAGTTACTTGTAAAAATTATCACCATATGGCTATATGTGCCAGTTTGGGATTGTTGTTGCGCAGCAACTGTGGCGCATTTTATTGGGCCCATTTCAGGGCTTAATTTGATAATCTGAACCGAGTAAATTTTAGAAGGTATCGAGTAGAATATAATTGTAAAAAATCACGTCAATTGGATATCGTTGGCATTTTCATTAAATAACATTTGTATTTAAAAAAATAAAAATAAATGTAATTTAAAATATAAAACTTAATGCAAATGTGATTTAATGAAAGAGATAACGATCTCCGATTGACGTAATTTTTTACAAATATATTTTACTCAATACTTTTTAAAATGTGAACGATTCAGATTATCGAATTAGACCGTAAAATTGGCAATAGTCACCCTGCGTAGCAGTCATCCCAAACTCATATATGTGGTGGGGTGCAAATGTAAGGATGTGAGGTGCATGTGTCACTTGTACTTTCCATATGTCAGTAATTTGTCTATGCAACGAAGACGACGTCGCACAAGTCGTACTGGCTAAACAATAACAACTAACAACGGCCACTCACTAATCTGAACACAAACATACCTAACAAGAAACAATGGTGTAGGATTAGGAAGAAGATAAACCAGTCAAGGATAAGGTTGACATATGCACATTTGTGTCAATACAGATATTCCTTTCCTATTTTAGGGTTTTAGGGTATATTCCTCTCCTCTCTCTTACAATGGCCGTTTTCTCAATCTACACATTCACTTCCTTTCCTCCCTCTTATTCCTCTTCCTATTTTCATGACTTCACTGGAGATTTGCTTTCGAGAGCATGGATTGGTAGACGAAGAAGAAGAAGCAAAAGCAAAAGCAAAAGCAAAGCCACTACTAGGCTCTTTGTTCTGTCTTCGCATTCCAACCCTAAAATTCTCAAGTCTAATCGCAGGTCACGGTACGGCAAAACACTGTCCCCTTACGATAGCGACGACGACGCTGGCGGTGACGGTTTCGAATACGACGACGATTGGGATGAGGACGACTGGCTTTCTGATGTAATCTCTCTGTTCTTGAGTTTTAGTGCTATTTTAGAGTTTATTGATCATAATTATCTTGTATTATCTGCAAATTATCGTTGAACTTGTCTTGTTTGATCGAATTAGGGAATTTCACCTTTAATTGAAAAACAGAATAAATGGAACTTATTTTTGTGAAAAATGACAGCACTTGGGATATGATATGTTGAGTTCATAAAACTGTAGTAATATTTGAATTGTGCATCATCCGTCAATTCAATTTTGTTGCTTGCTTCATATTCGTTTGGGGTTTAATGGGGAGGTTATATGTACTGCCTTTGATTATACATACAGACTTTCTAAAAAGTGCTTTCAGTGGGAATATGTACCACTCACAAATTTTAGCAAAACTCCCAGAAACTTGTTGTGAAGTAAGTATTGCTACTTTTCACGTCGATAGGAGTTGCTAGTAGAGTTAATCGGGAAATGGTGCAGAAGAGTGAATCTGGTTGCTCTAGACTAGTGTTCTCAATCTCCGAACTCGATTTTCACGGATGAACATCCAATTTCTGTCATCTCAAAAGTGGCAGTTTCACTGGCCAAAATTGGTGTTATGATGCCATATCTTAGTGGTGATCATCTGCCTATGTACCCAAGCAAGTACTGCTTTGATTTGAATTTTTGGCCTAGGTATCTTTTGCCTTCTTCATATGCTTTGCTTTATTTCTAGAGACTTCTTTGCTAAGAGTTCTTTTCTGGCTACATAAACATCTGGTTTTGCAGTCTGTTAGCAATGACTTTTGCTTTTTCTTGATTGGCACTGCTTTCTTCTCACTTAAGGGTGTTTATCCAGGATGAGTTTGCAGAGACAAAAGCATCTGATAAACAAAGATTCAAGTCATGGAATCCAGCCAACAAGAGTCAAGGTATGAATTGAAGCTGAAATAAAGTTTTCTAGACGGAGATTGACATAACATATATTCATTTGTGTAGGAAGCCACAGGCATTCAAAAAAGGAATGGGGTGTGGGATCAATAAAAGTGGGTCAAACCAAACCAAACAATATTGGTTCCTTAGGTGCAGATGGCAGAGGAAAGGTATTATATTAATAAAATGAGTTGTCTAATCTTACTAGTGAATAGAATGAAATGTTTTATCTGGTTGCAGCTGGAGGTTGGGAGCTCTACAAAGAACAGATTTTGTCGTCTGTGGGAAGAACTAGATTTGGACGAGAAATGGTTTCCTCTTCTTGATTACCTGAGCACCTTTGGACTCAAGGAATCACACTTCATCCAAATGTATGAGAGGCACATGCCTTCCCTTCAGATAAATGTGGGTTCAGCACAGGAAAGGTTGGAGTTCCTGTTGAGTGTTGGTGTCAAACACGGAGACATGAGAAAGATACTTTTGAGGCAGCCACAAATCTTAGAGTACACGGTGGAGAACAATATGAAATCACATGTTGCTTTTTTGGTGAGTTTAGGTATTCCAGATTCCAGAATGGGCCAGATAATCACTGCTACTCCATCCCTGTTTTCTTATAGTGTGGAGAATTCATTAAAACCAACTGTGAGGTACTTAGTTGAAGAGGTTGGCATTAAGAAGAGTGATCTAAGTAAAGTTGTGCAGCTGAGTCCTCAAATCCTGGTTCAGCGGATTGATAGTTCTTGGACCACTCGTTTCAGTTTTCTTACAAAGGAATTGGGAGCACCTAGAGATAATATAGTGAAGATGGTCAGAAAACATCCTCAACTACTTCACTACAGCATTGAGGATGGTTTACTGCCAAGAATTAATTTTCTAAGGAGTATTGGGATGCGCAATTCTGACATTTTGAAAGTATTGACTAGCCTCACACAGGTTATTTTCCTCTATTCACTTTGACATTTCTCACATCATTTGAGTTACATTTTTGTGTTCATTTTATTCAGTTTTGTTATTTTGCTCTTTCTTATTCACTTTTCTGTTTTGTTTGCACAATTGAGTTACTCGTTGCAGAAAGTGGTAAAATATTTATTTCTCCTCATTCTTATTGAGTATTTTTGGGACATCCCATGATATATTTAGTAATTCTACTATATGACAAGACATGTTAAATTTTTGTTGATGTTGGCATAGAGAGAGAAAGAGAGAGAAACCCCTTGATGCTATCTCATGATCTTTAGCAACGTTACTTCATTAGTATCTTGCTCACTGTCATCTCATGAAACTTTCAAATAATTTTAACAATATGTGCAGGTATTCTCTCTCTCACTGGAGGGGAATCTGAAGCCCAAGTACATGTACTTGATCCATGAGCTTCGAAATGAGGTGCAATCATTGGCCAAATATCCCATGTACCTAAGCTTGTCTCTAGACCAGAGAATCCGTCCTCGCCATAGGTTTCTGGTTTCCCTAAAGAAAGCTCCAAAGGGGCCATTTCCTCTGAGTTCTTTGGTTCCAACTGATGAAAGCTTTTGTCAGCAGTGGGCTGGAACTAGTGTGGATAAATATTTGGCATTTCGTCAGAATTTACTGCTGAAAGAGTTTGCTGAGAAGTATGAGCGATAATAGTGATTTGCTGACTTCAAGTTCCTTACAAGTCCATCAACATATGTAGTGGAAGATCAGAATGGTCTCTCCGATAACCTAAGCGACTATATATTTATCTTCTTGGAAATATTATGAGCATCTAGGGTAAAGTTCAGATGTCTGCGATCAGTCCAAACTCCTGGTAAGCAAACTTCTGGGTTGCTGTTATTTTCCTGAGAATTGGTTCATTTTTTCTTTCCTTGTACAACTTGACTCCAGTTTTACTTCTATTATTGCTGCCAGGAACAGGTCAAGTTTTGCTCTACAGTTAGCAAATATTTTCTCACTTTCTCAGTGTAGCAACTTAGCAAGAAGTAGGCAGTTGTTTACTAACTTCAGGTGTTTGCTAAAAGCCAGTGGCTCCAACTTCAAACCTTTGTTTTCAAGGTTTGTTCTTACTCAATGAATTTGGAAAGAAAAAAGCACGATTCAGATTGTTGTAGCAGATGGGCACTATCCCAGTTGTGAGACAGTGGCTTCATGGCCTAATATTGACAATCATTAGGCACAGTAAATAAAAAAATTTGTTGTTAGATGATTGTTACATGTAGCATGCATGCCTTTATGATTTGATGGCTATCTTACAGATATACCAAATTGATTTGGTTTCCTCCACCATTAGAGGATATGCAAAATGTTTTTAATGAGGCATCTCCTTCCGATCTTCAATGCAAAATGCTGCTTACGACTGTTTCCTAACTCATTGCAGGTTTATTTTTTAACTACAACTTGTCAGACAATATAGTTTTGGAGTGGCAGGCTTTACTTGTTGGAATCTTTCTTGTTTAAAGAGAACTTCCATATTCTCCATTTCCCCCTTGGATATTTTTGTAATTTGCTTGATTAACTTATATTTACATAACCGAGACATTTTTTTGTTCCTTGGCTACTTTGAAAATTGAAAATAGTATAGTAGCTTGTATAAGATACTGTTGATTTTGTTTTCTTGTAAATGCACAATAGAAAAGTTAATCAAGTTTGATTTGTTTTATATGAGTGGTACTTTTGTGACCTGGCTGCCAAAGATGTGCATTGTTATTATGTTTGCTTCTGATAAGTGCAGTATTGTAGTTGTGGTTTTCTGATGGTGTGCTCTTTCATGACATGGAATAGGACATGGTTTCTTCTTGATATCGTATGAGTGAAGTGTAAGCTTTGAAGTTTGGCAATTCTTGTCGCCAATAATTATGTTTGACACTAAATTAATTTCTTCTCTTATTCAGATATGCTCAACTGGTTTGTGATGGGGCTCTTTGTGGAGGACCCACCAGTGAGTGCTCAACGCGTCCAGCAGTTTGATTATAAACATTATTGTTTTCTTACTGGTGGGTGAAGGTTACCCCTCACCTAATCAAGAGAGAGTTGAGTTGGAGTTGAAAATGTCTTAATCTGTTGAATGGTGAAAAACAACAATGATTGGCTTAGGATACCATAAATTAGGTGTTAAATTTATTTATAGAATTGTGCTTGAATATCGTTATGTAAAGTAGGGTGTTTATTATTTTTGGAAGTGAAACTAAATTTTAAAATCTTTTTGAACTAATATTTCATTCTTTTTTTTATTTTTATAGATTGAACTTGTATTTCATTCTTAATTATCAGTATATATGTGTTTTTTGGGCTTAAACAAGAGAAGTACAAGTGGGGTGTGTTGTTGATTCATAGAAATGGCAATTTGTCCTGCCCTATCTCGTCATCATATCCTTTTTGCTGCTCTAGGAAAATAGGATTAGGATGAGATTTGCGTCCCCCATCTTGTTTTTCCTTCCTCGCCCTGATTAAATTATAATTAATATATTTTGTAATTTAATTTATTAAATATAATAAGAATATAATGTCAAAATATTCATATACATATATCTTTTTAGTTGTCGTCATTCATCAATCTCTCTCAATTATCAGTATCACCTCCCTGCTTCTGTCACCTCCTCGATTTTTCTCACCCTATCCCTACCTCAACAAGGAATAGACTCCACAAACCCAGTCCCATCCCATCCCATCCCATCCCACTCTGTTTACTATTCCTACTGTTGAACTCTTTCAGGGATTTAGATCTGTTTGTCATTATTGTTCTAATTTGGTTGTGCAGAAGATAAGGGATAAGAAAAGTTTTGAAAGTATAATATCTACAATCTGGGGTCCAAATGGTGGTTGAGCCACTGCCAATGTGAAATTTTTTTCATTTTTGTCTGTCTGTCTGTCTTCTCAGCAAATTGAAGGGTTGTTGTCATAGTTATGTGATGAGGAGTAAAGATCTGTAACCATTTTAAAAGGTTGAGAATTTAGGGGAAACTTTGTGATCCAATTTGGATACCATGTCTCCCTCAGCTGCTCTGTACAACTCATTTTCTTTTCCGAAGATTGCGGGTTTGTTAAAAGTTTTTTTTTTTTTTTTTTTTAAATAAAAAAAAATTGAATTATTAATAAGAAATTAAAAGGGGGGTGGTTGAGATTAGAAAGTCAATCATGAAATTAAAGCCTTTTTCCGGCTGTGGGGGAAGATTTTATCACGAGGGACACGTCAGTTGGTGACTGGGTGGGTGTGTCCATTAATCATAGTTTAGTTTTTTTTTTTTTTAAAACTGAATAAAAATTTATTTGGTATATTATTTTTGTTTTTCAAAAGAAAAGGGGATTGATCCAAAATCAAGTCCATTTGCTGATTAAGTGGTCACTTAGGTTGCAATTGGATATGAGATTTGTCGAGGACAAAAATAAAAGAACAAAAAACTAAAGGCTTGTTTGGTTATGTTTTTATTTTTTTGTTTTTCTGTTATAATTTTTTGAAAAACACACAAAACTTGCTTGGTGAAATATTTTAACTGTTTTCTTTCAATTATTTTTTATTTTTTATTTTTTATGAGAACAATTCTTTCAGGAATGAGTGTTTTTTGAAGAAGTAATGGAAACAATGAGTGTTTTTTGAACTTTCATTGTTTTATTTTAGAAAAACATATAAAAGGAAGACAACGAAAACATAATCATACAAAACCTAAATTATTTTCTCTTTTACTTTCCCACAAATATAAAATTCAGACCAGATACATTATACATATTATTGAGAACGTGGGCAATACAAGGAATGCGAGATTGAGTTGAATAAGTCAGCTCTCTCTCTCTCTCTCTCTCTCTCTTGTGTTGGGTTTGGTATAGTTTATTAAATCATTCACGTTGTGGCTTTTCAGGTCTACTTTGAGTCTTTTAAAATTATTTTCTAATATTTTGGTAAAATATTTCTAATCTGCAAGTCACTTTCCAAAACCACTGGATTGCTTCATATCCAACAAGGACCCATCACATCTTTCTATTTTTAATAGACTAATCATTTAATCATATCTGGAAATTTTTATATCTTGAAACAAAAAAACTGAGAAATTTCTGAACAATTTAAAGGCCAATCCTTTCGATATCTTACCATATGGGCTTGGTTCCAATATGACCAGTTGATAACTTCAACGCATAATTTTTAATGTCATGACCGCATAGGCACAATACAAAGTCAGTCAAACTTTGGATTTTGTTTTTCAATTGCAAACACCAATAATAATAAGCTTCAGATAAAATTCCCAGAAACCCAAGAAACAGAAATTTGACCAGCACACAACCACACGCACACAGACTCCTGCATACTTCTAAGAATAGTTCATCTCTATCTAGCATCTGCTAAAAGAATATGAAAACTTCAATGTTACTGTTTCATCTTTATGTGGGCACAGCCATGTGAACAATCAAACTGAACATATTATGCAAAAACGTGGTTCGGAGACAACAGAACAAAAGAACAACCCCGCATTAATTTGTATACAATAAGTTACTTTCTGTCCATTGCTTGGTGTTACAGATCAGAGATTACACATACATATATTATACTAGCTTCTTTTCATTAGCTTAAAGACTATATTACATTCTCTTCTAAAGATTCAGATTTTCTTTACCTTCTGTGAAAACATTACGAAAACTGTAGAACTTTCTTTTACATGGTTCTTTCTTGTGTCATATTCTTCTTTCCTACCGCTTTTAACCCCACGTAATGGGGAAGATAGCGAGTATGTATTTGCAGGGGGATTTGATTGATGGATAAACAAATGAGTTGAGAAATCGGAAAGGGAAAGAAAGAGCTGTGTGTTGTATTCTTTCGAAATTTGAAGTAATGGTGTTGCTGTTCAAAACCAGTACTAGTAGTACTCTGAACTCTAATTCTTCTGTTTGTTGCCGAACCTATGTAACTATTGGAGATGCAAATGGGCTCTCCGGGAGATTAAAGCCTTGGCTGCTGAATAAAAGCCCAAATCAGAAAACAGTAGTTCTAATCATGAGCAAAACAAAACCAAAAAAAAATTCGCTGCAAAGCAACCAATGAATATTTGCTGATTAAACAGATTAGAATGACAGTCCACGTGTAATTTCCAAGTGAAAGAACGTTTTCATTCCTACCTCTCCGAATCAGTGTGATTGGTTCCAGAATGCTTGGGATTAATATCATCACTGGCGGAGCTACTATTAAGGACATCCAACAGATAGTTGAACCGTTCTGCTGATGGGAACTTGGAATGACAGGCACGAGCAATGGCTTCAATAAGAATCAAAAAAACGAAAAAAGTGCCAAAGTAACCGATAAAGCAACAAAGAAAACGCGAATGAAGACGGAAAACTTGAGCAATATATTAGATGAAAGAGATGATATTATACCTTCTGAAGCTTTCAGCTCATCCACAGAGTACCCAAAATAGGACTGATTGGAAGTAGGTTTTTGTGCTAACTGTAGCTCTGAGAATCGCCTAGTCTGAACTTCAATGTCCTGTTCTTGCTCTTCCATAAACAGCTTCCCAAGCAGTCTTGAAGACTCCCATCCTGTTGGCACAATGAGAAACATATATTAGGTGATATGACAATGCTATTAAGATTGAACTGAAGGCATGGGTTGTAAATGCTTGCATGATATGAGCTCGAACATGTGTATAGAGTGGGAGGATCCACACCCAACTGTTAATCACAGAAATACAACCAATCGGTGACTTTTTATATTATTAGTAGGAAAACATTGATTGACACAAAGTGAGCCGACAATTACATTCAAGTTCCTATCCATGAAGAACTTACTGTACTTTCAGACTAAACCTATAGCTTATATTGTTAATTAGAAGGAAAAAAAAAAAAAATTTCTTGCATCTTCCACTCAAATTACTGCAATTTCTTACTCACTTGAGTGAAAATCAGAATCCATGTCTGTATAGTGTGAACCGCAAGTCATCGGAAGCTCCAGTTTCTCCGCATATTTCCTGCATTAAAATACAACACCGAATGAGGGCAGAAGAGAGCGGGTTATGAAGTTGCACTGTTGGGAAAACGGTTCATTTTTTTGTCAATTTCCCTTCATTTTCCTTTCCCTCAATAAATTTCTACTCACCACAACCTTAATGTGTTAATTTCTGATTTGTGACACTTATCAACTGTTATCCAAGCATCAATAGCTTTCACAACATATGGAAGTTTTTTTTTTTCAATACGCGAAAGAAAAGAGAAAATTATACCTATCAGAAAGCTTCGACTTTTCCCTATAAGGTTTCACAAGAACACGAGCTCCACAAACATAATGCGGATTTCCCTTCGACAAAATCATCTTCACGGTATCTGCACTAGCAAAAGTCACGAACCCAAACATCCGTCTTTGTTGGCAAGGAATTCTTACATCTTGAACTAGCCCAAAGGTGCTACAACAAACCAAAAAGAACAAAAGTGAGAAAAGAAAGTACAAACAATCCCAACAAGTTATCGATAGGACATTGAATTACTTGAAGTAGTTGGCGACATCTTCCTCTGTAAAAGTGCTCTCAGCTGGAAAAGTTAGATATATCTGCCGTGATCCACTAACAATTGGGCCTGGGTCATTTCTTTCACTCCGGTTTTCCATATATTTCGATGCATCTTCTGCCAAAATTACTGAATGCTGCCCATGAGGTCTGTAACTCAAGCCATTAAATCAGTAAAACTGTTATTTTAGGAAAAAAAACAAAAATGAATACACGTTCGAAATGCCATGGAAATTATAATTTCACCTGTCAATCAACCGAATACTGTTCTTCAATCGAGCAAGGAGCTTCGTCAAACTAAAACCTGCTTTACCATGCCTCTGGCTTTCAGTGAGGTACCCTTCGGCCTGAAGGGTCCTCCCGTATTTCTCATAGTACAACATGGGCAGCGAGGCAATTGACACGGGATGACCTCTTCTTGATTTCAACAGCTCTGTAATTTCGAATTCTAACTTTTCAAGTGACCTAGGTGAAAAAATCAGATCTTCATTAACAACATCATTTGTACTAGGACTAAACATCTGAGTGAGGCTCTCTGGGAAAGGTTGTCCATGAAAGTACCTACAGTTACTTCCATGCTTACAAAACCCCTTATTAAAATAGTGACAAGCTTTCGTTGGGAACTCGGATAGGGTTGGAGACCATGGGCTTCTCGCGCACGTAGCTTCCGGGTAATAATAATCACTCGAAAAAGCTGAAATTCCTGGATTAACTGGCTCTAATTGATCATCCAAACCCATGAATTGAGTCTGATTTTGGAGTATGAAATGGGGGTTATGCATTGGTTGGTGATCGGGGTTGACTTGGGGGTCCCAGGAGGGATACGGAACCTTCAATGTTACAGGGGATGAAACCGGTGAGAAGGGATTAAAACCTGGGTTCATAGAAGGTGAAATTGGAGGTGAAACAACTGGTTTAGCCAAGTTCATCGAAGGTGAAATCGGAGGCGAAACAACTGGTTTCGCCACTAAACCAAGTTGAATTTTGGTTTTGTATATCAAATTGTGGATTAAAGTGTCCGGTCCAAAAGCCAAACGAATCATTTCATGACCGCGGTCTTGTAAAAGAAGATACCCTATTATCTTCTTTGTAACATTCTCTGGTTCAAACTTCCGGATTCTACTAAACACAATATTAGAAGCCTCAAAAGAGTCCATTTTCACATCTAGTCACTCCTGAATAATAAATATAAAATAGAAATATTAATTTAATTGAAAAAAAATAAAGACCCGTATAGAGAAAGAACTTGCCAATCCAAATAATCTATGATTCAAGAACAGAAAATTATACATAGTGATCAAGTAAGAGTGATAAGTGATTTGTGTCAAACTTTACTGTCAAAAAGAAAAGTATAAGCAAATCTAGGGAAACAATCACAATAAACCCTTTACTGGTTTAAAAAAGAATAGGAAAAGAAAGGACAGAGAAATTTCTCTCTTTTTGTCAGAAGTTTCAGAAAGAAAATCTGCATACCCATAACTTTTTTTTTCTTTTTCTTTTGCACAAATTAAACTCCATAAAGCGGTAAGGTGAGACAGAGTCTTTTTTTTTCTTCTTCCTAGATTTGGAAAAAAAATATTAGAACATATATATACTCTTACACAGAAAAAGGCATGTACAGATAACAGATCACACAGAACAGATTTATCCAGATATAGAAACAAGAAAGATTGAATATTCGTCAAGATACAATCAATTGAAAGAATATGGGGGGGGGAACTACTTGTATGAATCTTTGAATCTTTATATTATATCATACTGATGAAAACCCACATAAGTAGTCTACACATCTACTTCAAAAAAAAAAAACAAAAAATAGTAAGATTTGAAAAACCCTCCAATCAAAAATATTCATTTGCTCTTTTTTCAAACTTGACCTTCAAAGTTCTTTCTTTCCAGATTCAAAACCCTCTACAAATTAAATTCTTTTCACACGCCCCAAATTTAAAAATTAAAATTAAAAAAAAAAACCCAGTATTTCCAGAACGAAAAAAACAGAAACAATATTCATAACAAGAAGAAAAAGGCAAAGAAGCAGAAGACGACTTCATTTCCACTTATTTGAGCAGTATTCGTATCCAAAAAACACACCTTTACAAGGGAATCTCAAGAAACTCTCTAAAAAAACCAAAAATTTTGAAGCCTATGAGTGAAGAAGAGTGATTTTATAGCGAAACAAACTATAAGAAGGAGCAAGAGATAGGCAAACCAACCAAATCTTTCTCAGTCTGTGGTAGAAGAGAAAATTGTCAGGAAAAGCAACATAGAGAGAATAGAATAGAAAAGAAAAACAGAAAAAAAAAAAAAAAACACTCTCAGAAACCAGTACTCGTCTCGGCCTCTCTTCTCTTTGTCTTTCTCTCTCTAGTTTCTCTACTCGGCCATCTCATGCCTTCAATACACTGCAAAAACGACATCTTTTTAATCCCCAGAAAAATAAAATGACATAGATGACGGAAAGTGCTCTAAAGTTAAACTATAATAAATTATTGTGGTGGAATTATAATAAATTAGTAAAAATAGAAAAAAAAATTATTTATAAATTTATTAGGGTAAGTCAAATCATAACTGGAAACTAATCAATGTGTTTGGTTTAAATTTTTTAGATTAAATTTTTTAAATTTTAAATTTTTTGGTTTTCGTATTTTTTTTATTGGTAGTGAATATTTTTAAAATTTGAAACATTTTTTTATTTTTTTAGATACACCTTACTCAGATATATTTAAAAAGTAAAAAATTTGTGAAAAAATATTTTAAAAAATTAAAAAATACATAAAAATGCAAAAAATATACTGAATTCTCATATTTTTTATATTTAGTGAATTTTTAAAAGGTTTTTTCATAATTTTTTTACTTTTTAGGTATATTTATGTTAGCTATGTCTAAAAAGTAAAAAAATTACTTAAAATATTAAAAAAAATTAGTAAAAATAAAAAAAATACGAAAAATAAGGAAATAAAATTTTCTAAAAAGTATTTATTGAAAAACCTAACCAAGCAAGCTGAATATCTCACGTAGGCTTTGGGAATTTATTTTTTATTTTTTACTATTTTTTAATTTTTTTTGGTCTTATTTTATGAGATGAAAAAATTTAATGTATTTGAAATAAATTTTTTTTGTTATATCAAAAATCGTAAAATATTAAAATGTTTGACTTTTTATCTTATTCTGTGTAAATATAAATTATGGACTATAACAAAAAATTAGGAATTATTTTTTAAGTTCCTGATATTAAAATTTTATAAAATAAATGACATACAATAATTTTATAGTAGTTAGAGTCTCTCAACATCTTCACAGTAAAAATTTAACTCAGAGAAATTTGTGCTTGACTCAGAAAATTTTTGGTCCGACTTAGAAAAATTTTGGCCCTGACACAGAGAAATTTCTTTGATATGATTACTGAGAAATTTCAAAATTTATTTGATATGATCATATAGAAATTTAATTGAGGGACCTTAGTTAATAAAAAAAATATTTTAGATCTCTTTTACTATACAAAGTTGAAGAAAAATGTTTCACTAATTTTTTTCAAAAAATTATTAGTTATTTGTTCCATTTTGGGTTTTTTTTTTTTTTTTTTTTTACACTACAAGACAAATGTTTTACAAAATCAAAAAAAAAAAATCCAAACAAAATATCACGTCAAACCTCATAATCATTTCACTTTTTCTCTCACAAACATTACATCCAACCACAAAAAAACTCAACTATCTTCTCAAACACAAAAAAAATTCACCAATAATATCGTACAACTAAAAAAACTTACAAAAAAATCCACTTTCCAAATACCCACTATACCACAACTCTAATTTGAATATCATATAAATTTAGAATACTTAGATAGAAATTTTTTATCCCATTGCTATAAAAAAACAAAAACAAAACAAACAAAAACCATTTCACTAGTCACTTTTTTTTTTAATCTCTTTTCAAATTTACCACAAAACTTGTTTTTTCTTTTAAAAAATAGATCAACAAATTCGTTTGAGTGAGATTTACACATAATAAATATTTTATTATATTTGCATAATATATAAGTACTCCTCCTAGTATGGATATAATGAAGAATTTATTATTTGTAAATAGTAACTCTCAATTCGTTTGAGGACAGCTAAAAATTTTTAATACCTAATTAATCTTGTGTAATTAATATAATTCCAGATAAAGTTAGTATTATATAAATAAGATAATAATTAGTAATTTGATGGGAATTCTTTGGAAACTCCAATGTGATGAAATAGAGCTTCATCAAGTAACCACGTCAGCTGATCGCATCTTTCGAGTGGGACGAGTGGGACGAACGTGGTACTTTTGTCTTTACGTCGGAGTTGGTCCTCCTCGTATCTACACCGTTAGATTTACACCGTTAGATTTGCCATCTCCTAGATCAAACTCACATAATGTCTTCAATTAATTATAAAAATTATGGTCTTTATATTGGCCTCGTTTGAGAAGTGATTATTTTAATAAGTTATTTGGTTTTTTTTGACTATTTTAGTAAGTTATTTTAGTTTTTGTGTTTAGAAAGATAAGATGAATTTTTAGTTGAGTTGTTGTATTAGAAAGTGTGTTGAAATGATATTTGAATTTAAAATGACAAATTTGTCTCTGAATTATAATTTTTTAAAATGATGTGAAGGGGTAAAATGGTAATTTAGCCGTCATGATGACTTTTGAGGCTGTGACAGTCCGGGCTGCAGCTTATTTTTTTTATTTTTTTTTTTTTTGAAAACCTGTGAACAATGTTGCTTTTGGTCTTTTTTCTCAAATGAGGCTATAATAGCCTCATTTCCGGCTTCCCAAACAGCGCCATTGTCTTCTCATCACTCAATACATAAATGTAACTCTCACTCTCTCAACCAATTAAAGAAGATAAAGGTACCACATGGCAAGTACCCTCTTTGCACACAAAAATATAGTATATGTCATGTGACTTTTTATTATATTAGGTGTTTGGAAAACAACAAAGAATATATACATTTGTAATTGATAAAATGTAGTGTCACGTGTTGAAAAATTTGAATTAAAATTTACTCATACAGTTGTGTCTCTTGAAATGGAAGAGTGTGTCCTTTTGAAGGGTCACAACTTTTCTTAAAAGTCATGGAAGAATCTATATATTACATCCCCCTCACTTCAATTTGTATAGAGAATTGTAATTTTCTTTTTTACTTTGCATTTATTCTTCATATTTTCTTAATCTAATTTTCCTATAAAGAAAGTATATGCAGTACCGGCCCTGACCATAGGCCCACAAAGTCATGGCTTAGGACCCCTCAAAATAAACTCAAAAAAGGGACCCCTCTTATTATAATTTAGTATAATATATTAGGTATGCTTTAAGTTTAAAAAAAAATTAAAAAAAGGCTCAAATTAACTTAAAATAAATTGACCCATTAAAAAATTAAAAATCATCAAAAATTATCTTCGATCAACCATGTCACAAAAAAAATGGAATGGATTAACATTGTTATCCATTGAAAATGATTTTGCAAAAAAAATTAAATTATGCAAGTATGATTGATTTATTTGCTTCTAAAAATGCAATAAGAGCGACGATCAAGCGATACTTATTAGTTGTTATAATGTAATGCTAAGTATTTTTTGTGATTTTAATACAAATCTTTTGTCCTTTACCTTAAATTTTTTTTTTTTCAATCAATGAAAAAAAATGTGAAGGACCCCAGAAATTTAGTAGTTAATTATCTGCTTTGGACCCCGAAAATCTCAGGGCTGGGCCTGAGTACATGCACAGCGAAGTTCGCTAGGCTTGCAATGGTAATGCTGCTAGTGCAAGACATTGATTGTTGTATCCTAGAAGATATACGTCCATTGAATCCTAAGCACCGGTGAGAGGACGAATCTGTCTTAAGGAAAGATTGTTACTATAGCGATCCCGGTTGTTCCTTTACTGTTCAGTTGTATTCCGGACTCGATTCCGTGGCGTTGGTAGTTGTATCTATCTTGTTGTCGTCCTTTATATCCTTTTGTTTGAGTTTTAAGATGTGTTGGGCTTGGATGTTACAGGTTGGTAGAGCTTTGGCTCTCATTGTTGTTGCTCAGTTTTTGAGTGGTCCGCTCGAGCGGGGTTTACACCCTTCTAGCTTTTTGTGTCCCTGCAAAACTTCTGCAGGTGTGTTTTCTACGCTCGAGCGGGTTTCTTGCGCTCGAGCGGGCTTGTTGGCGCTCGAGCGGGTAGTACCTCGTTGGTGAAAGTTCTGGGAGATGAAAATCTACGCTCAAGCGGACTGGTTTTCGCGCTCAAGCGGATGTACTTTATTCTTGTGTCTTGGAGCTCGAGCGGGCCTTCTTGTGCTCGAGCGTGTCTAGATTTTTGTGCTTGACGCTCGAGCGCTGTGTTTTCCGCTCAAGCGGGAATGTCGTATAACAGAGAGCAGCTGGGCATTTTTGAATAATTTTCTACACTTCCTCTCTCTCTCTTACTTTTCCAAACCGCCATTTGAGAGCTTCTCTCTCTAGAAACTCCCTTCTCTCTAGGGTTTGATCTAGTTAGAGTGTTTCCCTCCTCTTTGACCTTTGTAAAAGTTGGGTTGATCGTCGAGGACTACATTTTGATCCGAGAAACTTGTGATTTGGAGCAACTTCGTTTTCGTCATCTTCTTCATTGGGTGTCATCTTTTGAGGTAGGGATTCCTACTCACTCTTATGGTCTTTGACATAGATTTTTGGTTGTTTTGATAAAGTGTTGAAGTTGGGTAATTTTGGGACTTAGGGTTTCAAAATGTTAAAAGATGGTTTTGTTATTTTGATTCTAAAAATGTGTATTGCAAGTTTCAAAATAATGATATTGTTGTGGGTTGTTGATATATAGACCATTGGGTTATTATTGGGAAATGTGGTAGAAAATCCTAATTGGTTGTATAAATTAATTGGTATAATTAATTTGGGAAAATTGTGGTTGTATGGAATTGAGTTGGAAATAATGAAATTGACTCATTATATAGTAGAATAGTGGAATTGGATTTATTAATCGCTCACTTTTGAAAACATTGATATTTTATCTGTTGGAGCTTTTATTATCTGTTTAGAAATAATTGCTTGGGCTACCGGTGGAGGGTAGTTTTGATTGTTGTAGACAATGCATGATGATTAGGCAAACTAAAACTAATCAATTGGATATGTCATAGGGTATGACGGTTGATAGAATACATTAACGTTATGTATTGATTGATTGTGTATATGGCTTATGTGTATATACGTTGTGTGTATGGGAGGAGATAGGGGATGTACTCCACGGTTTAGGGGAAGATAGGGGATAGACCTCTAAACCGGATATTGTTTGGGAGGAGATAGGGGATAGACTCCACTGATACAGCTCATATGCTTGTCAGTTAACGCGTTGATATAGCTTATATGCTTATCTATGGAAGTGTTAATACAGCTCATATGCTTATCTTTGGAAGT